GGACAGAGAAAGAAAACAAGGACACTGACTACGCTTCCTCATTAATGTCCCACTGGTCCCCAAACTGGGACATGTCCAAGGGGTCAGGACGTCAGCCAGACCTCACCCAACCTGCTCAGCCTATGCAAGGTCCAAACTTCACACCCAAAACAACTGTTTCTGAGCCGAATCCCTACAAAGGGCCACTGGGAGGCGGCCTCTGCCGAGGTCTTCTCAGGTTTACTCACCCAGAAGCTCGAGTAACTAGTCTCCGGTGCAGGTGGGTATTCTGCAAAGAGCAAGGGTCATGCAGGTGAAGCAGCTGGCAGTGTTTTCCCTGAATCACCAAGACTGACCATGTGCACCCAATTCCCAAGGGGTGCTGCTGGGACCACCCACATCAGCATCAAACTCACAAGGCCTCTGCCTCGCCATCCTCCCGAACCGCCCTTGTCAAGATTCGAATCCTGTAGGTCTGGGGCGGGCAAGAACCATATGCCCTCTCAGGTGGCTCTCTGTGCAACCTCCTGTCGGCGCTGCAGCCCAAGTCCCTCATCCATTCACCCAAGTGCGGATCAGCATGGCTGTGTGCAGGGCGTGCCCCAGCTGGGGGCAAAATGCTGATGGTCCCTGACCTCACTGGGATTACACTGGCGGGGAGGCGGGAAACGGGACAAAGACCGAGACCAACCAGCAGTGGACTGTGGATGGCAGTGGGATGAAAGCGGCCAGGGCGGGGTGGGGGCCAAGGCAGTGGGGGTGGGGAGGCCAGAGACTGTGTCGGGGGAGGAAACGTCAGGAGCAAACTGAGCCACGGACCGAGCTCTGTGAGCGGGAACTGTGTGTGCACAGGCCACGCTCCCCTGCAGAATCTAACCTTGCCCACATCATGCTGGCCTGGGCCTGGCCTAGGCCTTGGGGAGGCGACCTCTACGCCCCTGAAGCATCCTGCTTGATACGGGGGGCCCTGGGCCAGCTGGAGAGGACCAACGTGCCTGCGGTGGGGGCCTTGGGTCTGTCACGGCCAGAGGGCTGGAGACAGGTCGGCCCCGAGGGCAGTCAGCTGTGCCCAGGAGATGGTGTTCCCCCAAAACACCCTTGACCACAAGGCTCAGGGAGCTTCCCTGGCTGGCAATGCTCAGAGGATACTGCACAGCATTGCCAACACGCAACATGTCCCTCCCCTCCACACCCCCACGCTCCGCAGGGACAGGACAACTGGAGCGCCACGTCGGTGCCCCTGGGCCCTGCCCCACGTGCCTCCTTCCTTGGCTGATTCTAACCGTTCACTGTAATAGGCCCTAACTGTGGGGTTAACAGGGTTCAGGGAGTTCTGGAAGCCCTCCCGGCAAACTAGCAAACCTACGGGTCACCTTGGGGACCCCAAACGTGACATTGGTATCAGAAGTGAGGATGAACTTGGGGCACTGGCTTTTCGGACCTGCCACCTGGGCAGGCATGTGCTCCGCTTGCTCCAGAAGAGCAGGAAGGCCTGGTGGCTGGAGCATAGCAGGGAGGCAGGAAGGGATGCGTGCCCGGGCTGCTCCGAGGCTTCCCAGTCAGCAGCACCCCCAAGGCCAGGCCGGGGGGCTGGCCTCCAGCTCGGGGAGCAGCTGGAGGCAGAGCCTCCCGGCTCACCCCTCTCTGAGCACACAGGCTGCTCTGGCCTTGGAACCAGGTCCTTCCAAGCCAGGGACAGGAGGTGCTGACCGTCTACTGATGTGAGCAAAGCCCAACTCGGGGACACGCCCAGGCCTCGCTCTCAGCCTCCCCACCTGGCAAACGAGAATGAACCAAATGCAGCAGAGGCTCGGCACAGGCACTGCCCACGCCACCACCCACACGCGTCTCTGCTTAAAAAGGCTGTGAGAAAAAAGTGAGCGACAAGGAACACTGCACGTCCCTCCCCTCCACACCCCCACCACGGCAGGCAAGCCACAGACACCCAACACGATGCCACTGTCCTGACTGCTGTGTTTATCTTGTAAAATGCTTGACAAAGCAAGAAATATGTCACCAGCCTGCCTGGAGGTGCAACCTGCAGTCTGAGAGCAGGTAGAATCATCCAGAAACTGCCTGTCTCCTGGCACAGGCATTCCAGGCCGGCAGGACAGCCGCAGGAGCAGACATCCAGGGGCATCACAGCTGGCCTTTCCAGGAAACTGGCACGGTAGCAAGGCCCACCCTGCCCAGCCCAGCGTCAGCCCAAGGGAGGCGGCAGCTTGGGGGAGGGCGGGGAAGCCTGCTGTCTGTTTTCTGTGGCTGCTCTATCCAACTACCACAGATGTGGTGGCTTCTGGTGCAATACCAGTGTACCCCCTTACAGCCAGGGGGCCCCGAGGCCAAATCGTTTCCACTGGGCTAATGCCAAGCTGTCAGGGGGGCTGCTTCCTTGCCTTTCCCCGCCCCCGCTCCCAGAGGCACCTGCAGCCTGTGGCATGGGGCCCCTCCACGTGCATCCTCAGAGCCAGCAGCGTGCCACCCTGCTTCTGCCAGCATGCTGCCGTCACCACCTGCAGCCTGGTCGCCCTCTGCTTCCCGCTTATAAGGTCATCTGTGGTAGCAGTGGGGTCTCCCAGAGAATCTCCCCACATCAAATTCCTAAAGTAACTACATCTGGAAGTAACATCCATGGGCTCCGGGGATCAGCACACGGGCATCTTTGGGGGCCGTGACGCAGCCCACCACACCTGGGTGCCTGGGCCAGGCTCGCTGCTGCTGCTTCGGCAGGGGGCGGGGGGCACAACCCCAGACCAGCGCCCGGGAGGGAGGGGAGAGGGGCAGGTGCACAGCTCGCCGAGCTGACCGCAGCGTCCGCAGAAAGGCCAGTCCAGGCTCTGCCGTGCAGCCTGTCTCCTGGGCAGCCACCCCTCCCACCGGCCCATCGGGGAAGTAGGGAAGAGGTACTCTCTGGTCCCCAGTCCTGCACAGTCCCAAAGGCATCACCCTCCACGCACCTCCGGAGCCTCCAGTCGGCACACCCCACACCTGGCGACGAGGCCCTTCACCTGACTCCAGAATCTGGAGGAGGCAGAGCAGCGGGAGCCGCAGGGATCCTAGCCCTGGTGTGGGGCGCTGTGGGCCCCTCCACGTGGGCTGTGAATGATGTGCAGCTGACCATGAGGGCAGAAACAGCCTGTGGTCTTTAGAGGCTAAGCGGCCAAACAGGCGCCCAAGGGGCCAAATTAATCGGAGTGTGCCGCAGACCCCACACAGTGGGGCAGGCGACCTGCTCATCTCACCAGGCCCAGAGCCCAGCACAGCAGCCGGCACCCAACCAGAGCTCGGCAGGGGGCCCCCAGGTGTGCAGATCTCGAAGCCACCACCCCTCATTGACACACAGTGCAGCCTGGGGACAGGGAGTGAGCTCCGAGGCCCCACGTGAAAGCGACACTGGCCTCCCTGGGGGTGGTTCCAAGGAGATGATGCTTGTGAATGGAGCTTGTGGGGGCTCACACACGGCTCAAGTGTAGGAGGGAAAACCTGAAAGGTGCGTGCGATGGTCAGCTTCAAGTGTCAGCTTGACTGGATGTGTGGGTGAGGGCGTTTCCAGAACAAACCATCATTTGAACTGGTGGAGTGAGTAAGGGTGTGTGTGGTGGGGGCAGCCACGCAAACCGAAGGGCCCAGTAGAACGAAATGGTGGAGGAAGGCTGGATTCACCCTCTCTCTCCTCTTCTTGAGCTGGGCCACTGACCTCCTATCCTCAGCTCCCTGGCTTGCAGAGGGCAGACTATGGCACTTCTCAGCCTCCATACTTACGTGAGCTAGTTCCTTAAAATAAACCTCTTTCTAGAGACAGACAGATGTACATATCCTACTGGTTTTGTTTCTCTGGAGAATCCTGACAAAGAGTGCATATCCTCTGCCTTCTGCTACTAAAATATCCCCTGTGAATAACATTTGGTGCCTAAAAGACTGGTCCCTTTTCTTCCTTTTTTTTTTTTTTTTTTTATTATTAATTTGGTTTTCTTGTAAAAAAAAAATTCTTTATAAAATAAACTAGGTAATTTAAGTTCTTTAGAACTAACATTTTTGGCATAGGCCCTAAGACTGGTATTTTCAATTTCACTTTTTAAAAGGATACAACTTGTAAAGGTTTTCTTTATCATGAATGAGCCCCCACAAAACCACGACTGTGCACCATGTTAGGGCCAGCAGCAGTGGTGAAGGTGCAGAAACTTTTAAAAACACACTTTTAATAGAATGTGCGTGTCTGTCGCACACACTGTCAGAAACAGCAATTTCAAAGCCCTGGGATGTCCTGAGCCGGCCGCAGGCCTAGGAAATGAAACGCTGGGTCTATCAGGGTGAGGGTGCTGCCAGAGCCCAGAGCCTCTCCTCGTCGGGGATTATCGTTTAAAATCCTATTGCAGCTTAGATCACAGCAATCAAAACTGCAATCTGAGTGTAGACACGGACAAAAGCTACAAATGAAGCCTCACCGCTAAGCCGGAGCCGGAGAAACCAGGCTGCAGAGAGAAAGGCTGCTGCTCTTGCTCAGAAGGAGCCGCAGAGCCACCTGCCAGTCCCTGCTTCCCTGGCTTTGGGGAAGGACACAGCCATCTTCTTGTCTGGCTGGAATCTGCACTTCCAGATGCTGCAGACGCTGGCCGGCCGCCCAGGGCAGGCCACCAGCATCGACGGTTCCTCTGCGGGAGTAGCCGGAGGGGTCACACGGGCTCGTGTCTCAGAACTGTCTCCAAATCCACCCATCGTGCTCCAGAAAGAGTATGAACCCAATGTGCAAGGTGCTCTGTAGTTCATTCACTCCAGCTGCTGGTTCCAAATCTTCCAAATAGACCCCCCCTCATAACCCAGCCCAGCACGGAGTGCAAGAAAGCGGTTTAAGGCCCCAGGGAGCTTAGGCAGGCAGGTGCCCCAAGCTGCAGGCTGGTCCCCTTCCCCACCAGCCCTGCACCTACCACAGCACTGAGCTCCCCTGCACCAGCCCAAGGCTTTGCTCCTTTGCCCACAAGAGCCAGAACCCCAAGGCTCTGCCCTAACAAGAGCATCCATACCTTGACCAGCTCCTTGAATTTGGGGTCATCCTTGGAGGTGGGGTCGATCATCGTGCGCTCCTCATTCTCCTCTGCAGGGAGCAAAGGCGGTAGTGTTAGCAGGTGGAGCTGTGCAGATCTGATGCTTGAGAGAGACGCTCAGGTAACACACAGGGGACCAGACTGGGGTCCCTTATGATGTCCTTGCTGAGGCCCTCTGCAGCCTCCTTTCCCCAGCTCTCCCTGGCACTTCAAGCCTCACCAACTGCTGGCCACAGGGCCTTGGCACATGCTGCTCCCTGTCTGACACCCTGTCCCCTGAGTCCACATCCCCTTCATCCTTCAGCTCTCAGTTTCAGGTGCTGACCAGGCCGGTCCTTATTAAGGTCACATGAGTTTCAGGGACAAGCTGAACCTTCTGGAGTGAACTGAAGAACACCAACTCCCAGACCCAAGAGCAGCTATTTAGAAAGGTGGTAAGATAAAGAGGGTTAGGGTCCAGGGCAAGGCAGGTTCGAGGCATTATTGACAAAACAACAGCCTGCCACACATTTAAAATAAGTCTACTGTCTAGCTCCTGTTGGTCTAAAGCAAGGTTCCCAACCAGGAGCAATTGTGCCCCTCTAGCACTCCATGTAGCAACATGTGGAGGAGACATTTTTGGTTGTCCCAGCTGCTGGGGGATGCTACTGGCATCTAGTGGATAGAGGCCAGGGAGGCTCAACACCCCATAATACACAGGACACGCCCACAATAAAGAACTGCCCAGTGCAAATGTCCACTGTGCCACATGAGATGGGGAGCCCTGCCGTAAGTCATGCTAATTACAGACCCGCATGCTGGTCCCCAGCTTTCCCTTGGAGAGAGAGTCCAAAGGAACCTCTGCCTGGACAGCAACTTCAGGCTGAAAGCAACAACAGCGGCAGCAACGAAGAGTGACGCTCTTCCGAGAGGAGAGAGATCGCCGCGGACCCCCGCGGGAGCTCAGGGACCTGGCCGGCCCTTGGCTTCAGGCCCCCCGGGCTGACCCTCACTGGCATTTCTTCTCCGCGAGCTCTTCAAGTGGAAACCAAGCTCTTGAAGAGGGACCCACGGGGACTTCCCTTTGAACCAGGGTTTGGGCGGAAGCAGAACGTCCCACAACTGCCTTCCAGATATCAGATCCCAAAACACACTTCAAGGAAAACACGTCCAGGCTGTCACTTCATTAGACTTGGCTGCGACGTGGTCCCAAAAAAGGTGAGTACAGGGGCCTCACCACTTGGCAGGTCCCACCCAGCAGACCCCCGGCCTTGGGGCAGCTCCAGCTCGTGCACTGAGTTCTATTTAATCGCATTTCTCCCTTTCTCTGTTTTCTTTACTCTGTTACTTTGTCATCTTGAGGCCTTGGAGACCCAGGGAGAATGCCATTCCCAAGGCGAGCTAATCCCCCCAGATATCAAACACCCTGTGAGTGCCCCTCCTGTGCCAACCAGCCGATCCGCGGTCTGCCCCTCGCAGCCTCCTCATTCACGGGGCTCTCCCAGGGCTCCCGTACACCTGCCCTCGACACCCTGGAGCCACAGGACAGCCTCCACAGCCCAGAGCTCACTGAGTGCATTCGAACTAGCCCGTCCAAACCGGCTCCCCCGCCTCACCCGTGCCTCCCTGCGGAAACCACAGTAAAGGCTGGGGCCCTACTTGCCCCTCACTCCCTCTGCCACCTGCCCGACTCTGGTGCTGCCCCGCGTAGCCCTGCCCTACCCCCTTGGGGACTGAGACAAACCACCCGCTCAGTGGCAGTCACCTCCTGATCTGTTGGCCTCACCAGACGTACAGAACAATGAAAAATACGTTTGAAACTGGAAGGGCAGAAACCTACAAGGGATGACTTGCTTTTTCCTATAAACTTTTCTAAACCTGACCTTGAGCTAAGAGCCTGGACTCTGACATGCTGCTCATGTGCTGTCGGATCAAGAGGCCCTAAGACCGTGCCCCTCAGCAGCCTCAATAATCCGGCTGCACGCGGTGGAAGCTCGGCTCTCACAACTGGAAGTGACGCTGGCAGGGGTGACAGTACCAGTACCTAGCTGGGTGTCTTCCGGGTGAACATCCACGAAGGCAGGGGACAGTGGTGTGTTGATGGCATTTTTGCCTTCTTCCTGCAGGTCACTCACTGTCAAGCACAAAGGACAAAACAGGTTAGTATAAACAGAATACCACAGCCTCACATGTTGGCAGTGGAAACAGAGGGAAATCAACTTGGTTTTTAAGCATCTAGCAAACATTCCTAAATGGCTTATGGCCCAGAAAGAGTCCAAAGAAAAATATTCCAAACCAAAAATACGTTCTAAAGTTCTTTCCCCTCGCCAAATATTTCCCAATTCTCGCCAAGCCCTGCCAATCTCTTTGGAATAGATAGGACACAGAAGCTTCTGGATGCTTTCCAGATCTGCCCAAGGCTGCTGAGACAGACAAAGAGAAGGTCCCAGAGACAGGGCCTGGACAGGCGGGCTCCCCTCCCCTCCCTGGAGAGCTGTGTTCTCAGCGGGGGGACTCCGGCAGGAAGGCCCCTCCCAGGACCTGCATGGGTAAGTCCAGAACTCCCAGCGATGCCACTGCTGACGTGAATGTGAGGCCACGTTCGTGGGGACAGAAACTGACGGTACATAAAGCCCAGGGTTGGGAGCACTACAACACACAACAGGATCTAACTAACCAGACCAGAAGCTTCCAAGTGGAAGCACAAGGCCTCCAGGTAGGCAGCTCCAGCTGAGCGTGTGTTGGGCGGAAGGAGCACTGGGCAGTCCCAGGGTTCAGAGGGCCACCTGAGCAGAGGCACAGCAAGGGCCCCACAGGAGCAGAGGGGACCCCTTGCTCCCAGCACTGGAGACCCTCCAGGGAAATGCCTTGAGCCCCATCTACGGGGAGCCCCACAGACACCCTCGTCCTTGTAACATCCTGCCTGGCACACTGGCCATAACTGGCACTTTCAGGCCCTGCTGCCTGTGGGATTCCCGGCTCCAGCTCCAAGATCTGATTTACGGGTGTGGGGGGGCAGGGGGTCCTGGGCACCCGTTGCATTTTTAAGTCCAGTTGAGAAAGGCTGGGCAATGTCTCCGATCACACGCCACTAGACCAGCCTTCTCCATCGCCAGTCTCTGGTCAGCAGTTTGCCCACACCTTCCCTTCAACAAAACGTTCTAAGAAAACTTGTTTCTTTTTCCAACGCCCCAATCACCTCAAGCCTTTAACATGTCCAATTCCAGGCACCTGGAGTAGGTGGCGAGACTGTCAAGGGGACATCGTGTGATGGCTTTGGAGCAGGCAGGTCTGGGTGATCACCCCTCATAGTGTGACCCCAGGCAAGTCCCAGTAACCCCTCTGGGCCTGTTTCCTCCAAATATCAGGGCCCTTAAGAGGACTAGAGAAAATGATGGATGTCAGGACCATCCAGAGCTCTCTGGACCAGGCTGTGGACCCAGCTGTGGGGTCCCAGCCCCGCCCACCCCTCACAAGGATGACAGCAGTAGGGCCCCAGGACACCAGCTTCTCATTGAAAGCACTGATACAAGGCTTTTTAAAAAGCAAACTGTCTCGTACATCCATGTTCTATAGCAGCGTGATTCACAGAGGGTGGGAAGGGCTCAAGGGTCCACTGGTGGCAAAATGTGGTCTGTCCATACAGTGGAAAGTTACTCACCCATAAAAAAGGACGGAAGGCTGTCCTGACAGGCTACAACACAGATGTGCCCTGAGGACATGATGCTCAGTGAGATAAGCCACTCACAGAAGGACAAATCCTGTAGACTCCACTCTGGCGAGGTCCCTAGACCCATCCAATCCACAGACATAACGCAGAGGGGGGGTGGGGGCAGCGAGCGGGTGTTACTGGGGACAGAGTTTCCACTGGGAGGAAGGAAGAGTTCCGGAGATGGGTCGGCGCACAGCAGTGTGAGCGGAGGAATTAAAGCTACTGAACTGCACACTTAGAAAGGGTCAAAACAGTAAGTTTATGTTATAGTTATTTTAGCACAATAAAAACAGGACAAGAAAAGCAGAAGCAGATGGTCTCCCAAGGGCGCTCCTGTCTGGAGGCCAGGCCGGCAGCAGGCCGCCCTCAAACCACCTTCGTCCCCCGGAGAGGTGTTCATCCTGTGACCCAACCCCACGCAGAGCCATCTTCTCATCCCCAAATCCTTAGCTTAACTGTGCAAGAAGCAGACCAGTGTAGACCAGTTTCCTGAGCACATGATGAACGTGTGAACTTTTGAGGCACACCCCCCCTCACTTCTTAACAGCATCCCAAAGATCCCACAGCCCGCCCAGGTCAGTTTAGAAAACAAGAGACCAATTTTCAGCAATGATTTTGTCTATGTAATGAATTACAAAGAGTATCTGAACCAGCAAAGAGCTTTCAAAGACATAAAGGGAAGGAGGAAAAGGGGTTTTTTCCCAGAAGTCCTCACAAATCCACGAGGTATAACGTGACCTGGTCCACCGGGTGTTTGCAGAAGACCCAGGTTGCTGAGTCCCGTTTCCTGGGCCAGCATCACAGAAGGGCTGAGGTCAGGGGGTCCCCCTGGTCCAGATCCTCTGAGATGGTCATGTTCACAGCCCAGGAAGTATGAGACTCAGGACTCATATGAGGGGCGGGTGGCACAGGTGGGCCTCGGGCCCAGGCAGGCCATGCAGGTGAGTCATGACAGGCAGCCCATAACGCTTCTCAGAAAGCCCCGGAGCGGCCATATAGGCTGTCCACGCCCCCGGGCACAGACCTGTGCAAGGGCAGAGCGGGGAGCTAAAGAAATGCTTCCAGGGGTCCTGCTGCCTGGTCTCAGAAACACAAAGATTGGGGGCGGAGAAGGAAAGGCATTTTCAAAGCACAGAAATTGGGTCACATGAAAACAGAAATTTCCACACCGCCCTTGAACATCAAAGATAACACTAAACAGGGCCTCGGATTTAACGACCTTAATGAATGAGAAATGCACCCGCAGGACTGCCAGGCCCCTTTAGATGGCACATTCCAAAGAGGCTGTTATGCACAAAGCCTGAGGGAAACAAGGGCAGGGACAGCACCCAGGAGCCCCAGTCTGTAACCACATGGTCTCGGGTTCGAATCTCACTTTGCCATACACGGGCATGTGGCCTGGAGCAAATCCCTTCCCCTCGCTAAGCCTCTGTTTGCCCATCTGTAACACGAGGGTGACAGCAGTTCCTTCCTCAAAAGGATTTGCAGAGTAAGAGATTGTGAGTGTTCAGCTCCTAGTGCAGAGCGCTCACCCTGCAGAGGGTGGACAGGTGTGGGTAACTAACGGCTCCTCAATGAGGCTCCAGGCGAGGTGTGAACTGAGCGATGAGTGATGGAAAGGAGAGTGTGGCTCTCCCTCATGCCGGGGAGAACCACAGAAGGCTTCCTGGAGGAGGAAGCAATTGGACACAACAACCTTGAAAGATGGCAAGAATCCAGATGATGGACTTTGGGGCTCTGTGCAAAGCAGACGGGGACAGATCAGAGTCACGATTCCAGAAACCCAATGTGGCAGCCACATCAATGATGAACCACAGGAGGCTTCCACAGACTCCTGTTTCTGTAAGGGGCACAGCCCCTGCACTGAGGAGTCAGCCAGACATTCGGCAGGAGGGACTCCTCTTGAACCATGCTTTTCCCTAAGGACCCTATTCTGCCAGCTTAGTGGATTTCCATTAACTCCAGGAATGTTTTGGTTTTTAAAGTATTGGTCCCATTTGCCAGAAGGTCAAACACTTCAAAGATGCAAAATGCCGGCTTGTCTTGAGTTACTGAGAAAGATCGCTGGCTCGGGAGAGCTGGCGTCTGGCGTGCACGGCGGGTGTGGGTGCTCAAAGGGCTGGCGCTCGATGTCACGGGGCCAGGATTGTTTCCTACACGCGTCTGCCATTGTGTGGATGAATGCCCTCGCCCACACTAAGCCCGCAGCCAACCACAGGGTCTCGGTGCCAGTTGTTCCCACTGCACCAAGGTCACATTCCAGTGGTGACACTCCCGGGCCAGGGCCACACAGGGGACCGAGAGCTGGGGAAATGCCAGGAGGGCGAGAGAGAGGGGTCGAAGGTAGGTCAGAAGACAGGGCAGAGGGAGAAGGTTTGCGAGCTGAGGGGCAGGACAGCCATGCCTCCTGCAGCCCAGGGGGACAGTGGGGTGGTCAGACCACAGCTGACAAATCTACGAGCTTTTGAAAAAAGATGAAAACCTGGGATTTAGTTTGGACTCCCCCAGTTTATAAAGGTGAGCAAAACTTCAGATTCTGTGGGCCAGCCGAGGGCTACCGGTCTGCACTCCATGTGACAGTGAATGTCCAACCCACGTTCCACCTGTCAGTGGGAAGCAGGGAGAGGGCCATCAGCATTTCCTGAGCACCTGCTATGTGCCTCCCATGCCATCCATTCATCTCATCTCCTAACAAGTCTGTGGCTGGTCATGGCTGGGTCCAGGTGGGCCAGCATCTGCTAGAAGGGAAGGTACCTGATTACACCCACAGTGAGCCCCAGAGCCAGGACTGAACATGGTTCTACCCGGTCTTGCATCTCACTGTACCCAGTTAAGTCCTATCCATCATCAAGCCTCACTGGCCACCTCCTCCGGGAAGCCCTCCTGAGTGCTCCCCCCCTACTCTCCCCAGCTCACATCACACAGCGCAGCAACTCTCTTTTCTCCACCATCTGCCCACACTAGTGCTAACCCAGATCCTTGTATTTGAGGGGCAGTGCGCTGAAGGGTTTAGGGCCCTGGAGCCAGTCTGCTGGTTTCAGATCCTGGTTTGGCCACTGATGAGCTGGGTATCCTAGGCAACCAACTTTACTGCCCTGTGCCAGTTCCCATCTGTGAAATGGGGCCTGGTTCACCTCACAGAGAGCTCATGAAGGTGAACACGCAGAACAGTTGCTGGAATGCAGTAAGCACGCAATAAGTGCTAGCCTTTGGCATCTGTGGAGCGGAGGCATACAGGCATGTTTCCAAAGCCCATTCTCTTCCCACCACTCCACCCAAAGACAGGGCAAGGCCAAAAAATATATATATATACCTCTCCCAATTGGAATCAGGAGCAAATTAAAAGGCGGAAAGAGCATCAAAAACTAAACCTCAACACTTGAGAACTTCACATAAAGAGCCTGCCATTTATACCCCAGGCT